AAAAATTTTCAGTCAAAAATGTCACCAGTCAGCATGACCAGACTATAGCCTTGCAATTTATGTTAACATTTTTTGGGGACACAGAGCTTTCTTTTGGAGGTATATTATCACCACTGGGGGGTGGGTTATTTTTTACTATATAATGAAAAAAGTACCGTAAATTTCGAATAAAAAAATGGTTTCCCTATGTTGTTATAAAACATCTACCCATTTTTTTTTTTTTTACATCTTACCCATATTTTTGGTAAAACATAAGACCGGGTAAATAGACACATATATATGTGTGTATATATAATCTCAAACCACTGACTAGAAGCCAATATTGGCTTCACAAAATTGATAGAGAGAATGTTTACTGCAGCTTAAATTACTCTAATCCAATTCTGATACTAACACTATATAACCGAATGGTTAAATTAAATGGTTTAGTCAGATATATATGGCTAGCATAAATTGCTTACAGATAGCTGCTAAGTTATACTTTACCACTAATCTGGAAATTCTGTGATGTCAATTTAGGGGCAGAGTTCTTTCTCAGAAGTTCCTCTCTTTGTTCAGTCTCGTTCCCATAATTCTTAGTTAGCCTGTCAATCCTCCTTCAGTCTCCCCTCTCCCAATTTTCTCCTAACTTTTATCACCCAAAACTTTGGGAGGGGAAATCTTTTCTTATCTCGACTAAGATATCACGACCCAGGTCACTTTACTCCAAACTATACCCACATTTTACCTACATTATTTGAAGGAGGCAGTATTGCTCTAGGAATAATTTTGGATTTTTCTTTAAAACTCCAGTAACATGCCATGAGATGACCTCCTCAACCTCGGCTTATTGGCGAAATATCAATTTAAGAGATCGCTAGTTACTCCTCTGGGATTGCCAGACATCCCAGAGACACCCATCTTTAACAATGAGGCATAGAAAGAGAGAAACAAATATCTTGGTACAAATTACCTCATCCTACATACAAAGAGTATAGTTACTTTACTGATTATTACATACAATAATTTACTCAATATAAACATTTATAATGTAAATAATATATTTATACACCAGGATATATCTATTAGTAAAAATCGACTAATGTATATAAGATATATGTGGAATATCACATTATGAAAACAAAATTACTTAAGCAAATATTTATATAACTCATGCAACAATAATACATTTGATGCTTTTAGGGGCTTCTGGGAAATATTAGGGGTCTAAACAGACCCCTGATGTTTCCCTTTTTAAAATAGAAAAAGAGATTGAGAACACAGAGTCCTCAATCTCTTTTTCTGTGTCCCCTGTTATCAATGAACAGGAATCCTCTGAGTGTTCCTGTTCATTGATAACATGAGAACATTGTTTGTTTTACTATAACCACAATTATGAATGAATGGGGGTGATGTAGATCACTCCCATTCATTCATAATCGAGGATATAGTTAACATACCATGTCCTCAATTATCTACAAACACTCAGCGATCACTGAGAAAAGAAGCCAGGGATGCGCCGATGTATCGGCCGAAACATGGCTCTTTCGGCATTATGCCAAAAGTGCCATTTTCGGCCGATATGTTTCGTCGGACGATATATCGCTGCATCCCTACTATATACTAGATAATTTTCAATGTGAACTTAATCATAACTTGAAAAAGAAGAGAAAAAAAATGAAATGGTGAATAGTTTTGTCCTTTTTGTTAAGCTCGAGACATGGCATCTTCATTAATCTTAGTCTATCTCAGTCTAGACTCTCCAAAATGTTTAACCTGGGAATCTATGCTGTAAGGGTCTGAGAATGGCTGATGAAGACTCTGGCTTGAAACCATGAACTCAAATTCTCCTTATAGAATAGAAAGAACACAATAACTTCCAGTATGCTCATGTTACTTTATGTGTCTATGATGAGTTCAACCTTACAATTTAATTCTGTGAGCGCTTATATTGACAGCATAGCCTTGACCTTACTCGGAAGGATTTGTTTCTGGTCGCTATAACCTCAGCTCGGAGGGTTTCTGAGCTGACCGTTCTGTCCTGTAAGGAACCTTTTTTGGTCCTGCATCAAGAAAAGGTGGTTCTCAGACCTAGTCAATCTTCCTTTTATTTTTTGCTCAAGGTGGTTTTGTCTTTACACCTCAGTCTGGACATGCTAGTGGGTGTAGTCCGTTCCCACCCTCTTAATTGCTTTTGGACCTCCCATCCATCATGATTATATGTGTCCTGTATGAGCCAGAACATAGGATTCTTTACTTTCCTGTAAAAATCCCTTTCTTGTAGTACAGTTCAGGACACTCCCTTTATGTTATGTTGCACTATTGCTTGCAAATAACTGAGGTCCTGTTCTGACCATTGTCAAAATCACTTAAAGGTGCAGCTATATAACCCATCCATCATTATTATCTGTCTCCTGTACTGCAATAAAAGGATTTTACAGGTAAGATGTTCCCACATCTACCAAAATCAAAACCTCAATTTTCATTGCAGTCTATTACTAGATCACCTTCTGTCATCCAACATCTATGAGCACATTTATGCTCTATGCTATCCTATTGCAATGACTATACACCAGCAAACGTCAGTTAACAAACAGTTCTTTGTATTTTTAGATTATATCTCTTTGAAATTAGTATCACGTGTGTGTGTGTGTGTGTGTGTGTGTACAGGGCTCGAAAAATCCACTCGTCTGTGACGAGCAGACAGTGGAGCCCGACGAGCAGCTTCCCTGTGACAGGAGATCAAAGGGAGTTCAGTATACGAACTCCCTTTGATCTCGGTAGCAGCATTTGCCCTGTGATGTCGCAGGAAATAGTGGGCAGCAAATTGCTGCTAAATACAGATTTTAGTTAGCACATTTCCCTGGCATTTGCTAGACCTTTTTCAGACCTGCCACAGAAATTGAGAGTTGTCATTGTAAAAATGTACATGTGTTATTGCAGATTGAATATCTCCAGAAAGCTAACCGAGACCTTGAAAATCGTGTGCAAGAACTCATGGAAACCCGACAGAATGTGACCAGTGAGGTGTTGAATCTAAGCAGCAAGAATGAGGAACTCTGTAAAGAACTGTCAGAGATTGACCAGATGGCACAGCAGCTAGAGAGAGACAAAGATATAGCACTTGAGACTGCAGATGATGAGATTGAAGAAGCAAAGGTTGGTGCCATTGAGCTGTATTTCAAGCAGGAGAATTTGTGTATTGCTTTTGGAGTTTTGCTAAAGCTACCATGCCATGCATACATGATTACGTAAAAATAGAGAGCATTCTAAAATATGCATTTGCACGCTAGAGCAACCTGTCTTGCACAGTCCTGTGCAAGACTGTGACCTGTCTTGCACAGGATTTGCGGTTTTGTCAAGTCGCCTTATAATCTATACATCTCTACCTCACGGGCAGGACCCTCCTTAGCACCTTGTCTTGAATTGTATTGTGATTGTAATATCTTCCTTATATTGTAAAGCGCTGCGCAAACTGTTGGCGCTATATGATTCCTGTATTATAATAATACCAAACTGTACAGTCAGTAAGGACCTTACACCTCTTCTGTTAGAGTTGTATAATACAAAATACAGTGGTTGCTTGGGGAATCTTAAGGGCACTGGACACCCCTCCCTTGACAACGTATGGGGGTACTTATTTTGGGCCCTACCGATTTACTGTTGGCGTATGGTTGCGGAGACTTCACTCTTAAGGCCTAACAGGCTGTGCTGTTGCTGCTCCTGCTTGAGTCCGTACATTCTTCTGAGGCTTCTTTAGTGTCCGGTGTGGTCCACTCCTCATTTTTATGCTGGCAGGAATCACCTGAGGTTACCCATGATTGTTAATGCTCCTACATCATCAATACCTGACCTGCCTCAGCGGCCTCTGAGTTTTGGCTGCAGGGGGCCTATCTCGACGATTAGTTTTTCATATCCTTGTCTGATACTGTTCCTAAGAAATTTGCAGGCAGCACTCATAGATCTCAGGCTTAGAGAGACTACTCCAGCTGTTATTGCTGCTGTGCGTACCACTCTAAAACGGTCAAGCAGCCTATAGCGTCTACTAGTGCTACTACCTGTCTAGGATCCCTTTTTAAGGCCATAAGTCTCCATGTCCCTAAATTCTCTAAGTCCCTAACTTTATTAATATCTTAGCTGTTGGTGTTCCTCCACCTGCCCAAACATCCACCCCTTATTTTTCTTGAGATGGATGTTTGGCTGTCGGCTACATTGTTAGTTGAGGCCCATCGCTTCCTCAGGCTCCACTTTCCAGTATGTGTAGTAATGCGAATATTTATTGTACTGAGCAGGAAGCCAGGGCCCTTTTTTATGGCCTGTGGGTCTAGGGGTATGTTAAGTGGTATTTGAGCCAGATATTTAAAATAATTTATTATACTATTATCTAAATCCATTTTTATTTTAGAATGAAATAAAGAGGCTGCATATGGAAATCCACAAACTTGAAAGTACTTTGGTGCAGTACAAATCTGTAAGTAAATCCGTCTAAACATACTATATATAATAATAATAATGGATTACTATATAGTGTTGTGTTTTGGGGTTTTTTTTGTTGTTTTTTTTTCTCTTCCCTTTTCTCTTCCCCTGGTTTCATGGTTTATTTTGTCAAATGAAAAAAACCCCAAAAAACGTATGGATACCGAAACATTAAACACATTTATTAGTCCAGTGAAATGCAGAATTATTTTATGTACACACATACACACAAGAAGTGTAGGATGTAAGTATAGTCATTTCTGCTACCCAGCACATGCAGCTTGTTCCCCATTTATCCCTACCACCAATTTTTTTTCTCCACTCACCCTACAATTTCTTTACTACTAGTGAGTGTTCATCATCAACTCACTCTTCCAGTATCCTACTACTAGTGAGGTCTGCATTCCAGCACACACACAACTCACTCCCCGGTATCCTACTACTAGTGAGGTCTGCATTCCAGCACACATACAACTCACTCCCCGGTATCCTACTAGTGAAGGCTACATCCAGCACACATACAACTCACTCTCTGGTATCCTTCTACTAGTAAAGTCTACATCCAGCACACACACAACTCACTCCCTGGTATCCTTCTACTAGTGTGCTACTTCCAGCACACATACAACTCACTCCCCGGTATCCTTCTACTAGTGAAGGCTACATCCAGCATACACACAACTCACTCCCTGGTATCCTTCTACTAGTGAGGTTTGCATTCCAACGCGTA